AAATATTGTTGATATTGTTAAGTGTTATTGTTCAACTGCTCGGCCAGGTAGCCGAGGATCCCAATCGCTTCTAGAGCAGGTAGCTCGGTCATAATTGAGATTCACACGGTGCACACACGCTACCAGGGGTTGCACGTTACATTTTAATGGTGGCAGCGGTGGGATCATAGTTGAACAAATATTTGTGCTTTCAACATAAGTTCACAATGGATGAGATTAACAAGACGATAGAGGAGCTTGAGTCTCGCATCGCGTCCTATGGTTTAGGACGGAGACCTCAAGGCAGCCCAGCGCGACATTCTACACCCAGGACCACTAACACGGGCATGTGTGACAATGAGAGGACTATGGCTGACTCTGGAATAGTGACAACTCGTAGATCTCAGGTCGACCTTGGTGCTGATCAGACACGGAGCGGGATACAACTGGAAGATGCTGATCAACGTACAAAGTTCGTCCAAGTTGATCCACAGCCGAGTTTGAGCCCAGTCATTGATGGAGGATATAGAGGAAATGCTTGCGGGGTTCCTTTAAGCGAGCGACAAAGTCTGCCGTCCGCTCACTATAGATATAGTGATGAAACTGGCACCAGTGAACCCTTGACACGGCCTTCTTATAGGTATGATGACAGAATAACNGTGTACACTAGTGTGTTTCGGAACACTTTAGACATTAGCTGTACATATGTAATTCTATATATGTACACTACTGTGTTTCGGAACACTTTAGACATTAGCTGTAATTCTATATATGTGCACTAGTATGTTTAGGAACACTTTAGACATTAGCTGTAATTCTATAGATGTACACTAGTATGTTTCGGAACACTTTTGACATTAGCTGTAATTCTACATATGTACACTAGTATGTTTCGGAACACTTTAGACATTATCTGTAATTCTATAGATGTACACTAGTATGTTTCGGTACACTTTAGACATTAGCTGTAATTCTATAGATGTACACTAGTATGTTTCGGAACACTTTAGACATTAGCTGTAATTCTACATATGTACACTAGTGTGATGATTATGTGATTTTCGGTAGAGTGATTCCCCTTTGAACAAACGTTAAGTAAACGTTCTTGGAATCTAGATTAGTATTGATTTCTCTTTATTACTGATGATTAGCGAAGTTTGATCAAAACCAATATTACCAGAATCTTTTATTAATTACTTGGAATGGATATGACATNGGATTGCACCAAAGAAGGAAAAGTCAACCGGTCGGACAGTAGAAATGGAAGGTCAAACGATACTCAGAAGAAAGAACAGGTTGGTGTGCAAAGACAGGCAGGAGAACCAGGAATATATGTCAAAGTGTTGATCGAGGGAGTTATGGGAAAGTTTCTGGTGGATACGGGAGCGACAGTTTCGCTTATATCTGACAATATGTTCAAAACAATCTGCAGCAAAGATGGGGACAAACGTCACGTGACAGAGGTATCTCGGGATATTTTATCAGCAAACGGGGAACCACTGGCAGTTATTGGCCAGACGGCTGTGGCAATGTTTATCGACAATCACCTATACAAGAGAAGCGTTGTAGTGGCAAGTTTATCTGTGGACGGTGTTCTAGGATTAGATTTCATGAACGACGAAAAGTGTGTGGTGGACATTGTGAAACGAAGCCTTACCATTAGGCAGCAGAAGGTAGACTTATTGGCTGAAGGGAGGATAGGTTGTTATCAAGTGACTATTTCTGATACTCTGAACATTCCTCCAGAGTCGGAAGTGGTCACCTATGGTCAGGTGATCATTCCAACAGGTACAACTATGCCTGATGGGATGAGTATAATAGAACCTTCAAAGAAATTCTTGGACACCGATAGAGCCTTGATAGGAAAGACTTTGGTAAATAATGGTGGAAAAGTACCTGTGAGAATCATGAACGTCTCCCCTGATGTCAAGGTGGTGCACGCAGGGACGGTTGTCGGATCTCTTACACCAGTGGACAGGGTAATGGCATGTGACCTCATCAGTGAAGAAAAGGAGGCATTAACCCCGGCATTAAAAAACTTGCTAGAAAGAACCAGCGAAGGGCTTACAAAAAAAACAAGTTAAGCAAGTACGCGCCTTGATTCTTCAACATGTAGGTGCATTTGCAAGTGACGATCAAGACATTGGCCAGACCGGTGTTGTGAAACACGCTATCAATGTCGGTGGTCACCGGCCAATCAAGCAGCCCATTCGTAGGCTTCCAGTTCATACTAAACAGACAGTAGATAAGCATATCGACGACATGCTCGACAAGGGAATCATTGAACCTTCAACTAGTCCTTGGTCTTCTGGTGTGGTTCTAGTGAAAAAGAAGGACGGCAGCACTCGGTTCTGTGTAGACTATAGACGTCTCAACGATGCAACTATAAAAGACGCCTATCCGCTGCCGAGAATTGATGAATCACTAGATCAGTTGTCTGGAGCGTGCTGGTTTTCCACACTTGATTTATGTTCTGGCTACTGGCAAGTAGAGATGGAAGATCAGGATAAACCAAAAACCGCTTTCTCGACCACGCGCGGGCTATATCAATTCAACGTAATGCCGTTTGGTCTATGCAACGCCCCAGCAACATTCGAACGACTCATGGAAACCGTGTTGCATGGATTACAGTGGGACATCTGCCTCATATACCTGGATGATGTTATTGTCACTGGCAAAACATTTGAAGAAATGTTAAGCAATTTGGGGAGAGTACTGGAGCGCCTCGCAAATGCAGGCTTGAAACTGAAGGCGAAGAAATGTACGTTATGTGCAAGAAAAGTAGAGTTCCTTGGACATATCATTTCTCCTGAAGGGGTATCCACTGACCCGAAAAAGATACAAGCTGTAAAAGACTGGCCAGAACCTACAACTGTGACGGAGGTGCGATCGTTTCTCGGCTTGTGCAGCTATTACAGGCGATTCGTCAAGGGTTTCTCTGATGTCGCCAAACCACTGCATAAACTCACTGAAAAACACAACCGGTTTGTTTGGACGAAAGAATGCCAGGAGGCTTTCGATTGCCTCAAATCAAAGTTATGCCAGTCTCCGATACTGGCTTACCCAGACTTCACTCAACCTTTTGTGCTTGACACCGATGCAAGTGACCTGGCTATTGGAGGTGTATTGTCACAGGTACAGGATGGGCAGGAAAGAGTGATCGCGTACGCAGGTCGAACACTGTCAAAGTCAGAAAGGAAATACTGTGTTACAAGGAAAGAGTTGCTTGCTGTTGTTTTCTTTGTCAAGTATTTCCGCCATTACTTGTATGGAAAGCATTTCCTTCTGCGTACGGACCACAGTTCTCTGCGCTGGCTCCTCAATTTTAAGGACCCCGAGGGGCAGCTGGCAAGGTGGATTGAAGTACTCGGTATGTACGATATGACTATCGAACACCGACCAGGATCTCAACATTCAAATGCAGATGCTCTGAGCCGACGGCCTTGTGCAAAATGCAAGTTTGATCCTGCATGGAACGTGGATTCAAAATTGTCTGTGTGTGTGATGACGGGGACAGGATCTTGCCAAGATGAAAAAGTCGGTGAAAAACAGGATCCTATGGAAGGGAAATCCTTGTCACTGCTCCAACAAGAAGATCAAGACATCGTGCTCATACGAAAGTGGGTGGATACTAAGGTGAAACCCAGTAATACAGACGTGCATATGGGAGGAGCGATGGTGAAATCTCTATGGTCTCAGCGGAACATGTTGATAGTGGAGAATGACATGCTATACCGCAAGTGGCAAGACACGAAAGGTACAACGTTGCAGGCGGTAGTACCCATGACTGAACGCAGGAACATGCTGAAGATGTGCCATGATCATCGGACTGCGGGTCATCTTGGAGTGAAAAAGACCTTAAGCAAGATAAGACAGAGTTTCTACTGGCCTGGTCTTCAAAGGGACGTGAGGCAGTATATAGCAGGATGTGAAGTATGCTCAAAGAAGAAAGGGCCAATCAAATCTCCGAGAGCTCCTATGCAGATAGTTGGTTCGGGTATGCCTATGGAAAGAATAGCAACCGACATCCTTGGTGACCTGCCATTGACCAGCAACGGAAATCGTTATGTGCTGGTAGTTTCAGATTACTTCACGAAATGGACCGAGGCCTTTCCAATGCCCGACATGACAGCCAAGACTGTGGCCAATATCATTGTCAGGGAGGTAGTGACACGGTTTGGCGTACCTGCTGTAATCCATTCTGATCAAGGCAGACAGTTCGAAGGACAGCTTTTCTCGCAAATGTGTGAGGTGTTGCACATCAAAAAGACACGCACCACCCCATACCATCCGGAAGGAGACGGTATGGTTGAGAGGTTTAACCGCACCATGATTTCAATGTTGGGTTCATATGTCAATGATCATCACACGGATTGGGATGACCATCTGCCATTTGTTACCATGGCATATCGGTCCGTGGTCCATGAGACTACCGGCAGCAGCCCAAATGCCCTCATGCTTGGCAGGGAAGTATCAACGCCTATGGATATAATGTATGAGATGCCGACTTGCGTGAAGAAAATCCCATCAAATCAGTGGGCTTGGTAGTTAAAGGAGAAAATGGAGGCAGCGCATACTCATGTCAGGCAACACGCAACTGGAGCCATGCTACGACAAAAGATATGGCATGACCAAAAGCTCAGCTGGCAGTCTTTCTCGACTGGCGATCTAGTCTATGTTTATTTCCCAAGGTATCTATCAGGCCGTTCTCCCAAGCTCCCAAGCTATTGGAGAGGACCTTTTGAAGTGGTCAACAAATGCTCAGATGTTACCTACAAGGTACTTTGTGGGGCCCGTGGAACACCCCAAATAGTTCACGTGGACCGAATGCGACTGAAAAGACAACAGAGTTGATATTGGAACTGGTAAATGTTGCATATATAACAGCATACCATACCCAACTGTCGTTTGAATATTGCTACTTTTCTGTTTATTTTAGAAATGGTGAAGACAAAGACTACACCTCGGAAAGAGCAAAGGTGTCCTATGTGTGCCTTCACGTGCGGTGACATGGAGAAGATGAAGGAACATTTTGTCAATTGTGGTTTGCGGGAAATGGAGAAGAAGTCCTACACCTGTGAAATGTGTCAGTTCGCTACCACTACTGCTAGTAATCTTGTCCGACATGGAAAGAGAAAGCATAGCACGGAACAGTCAGAAAAACCGGGATCTTCTGCTGAAGTGGGCAGCCAGCAGGCTGATAAGGATGAAGGGGATTCGTGGAGAGACACTGACCCTGGTGATCTTGCGAGCATCATTGGCCATGTGTCGGACTCCGACGACGATGACGACAATGGTGATGACCACTCTGTTGATGAGGAACCTAATCTGACAGCCGTTCCCGATCCTGCAGTAAGGAAACCAACACGGCCAGAACAAGTGTTCACTCCGAAACAAGTGTCAGCGAAGTTAAGCCCAAAGGATCTTAGGAACTGCATTCCACAGAAAGTCCCTCGAATTAATAGACCTCCAGCAAATGTCCACCAAGCTCCTAAGGCTGTAATGACAGTGGCAAGAAGCGTATCGTCACAAACAACGCCAGTGGTACAGAGACGTGTTGTATGGAAAACAACAAAGTACACTGAAGGAGATAGGCAGATAGAAATTGTTGAGATGGAGGAGACGGAGTCGTTTTGTGGTGTATGTGGTGCGAAAAACTGACACGCTGGTGCATTTAGTTTGAAGTTTATTAATTTTCTATTAGTGTGTTTAGTAGATACTAGATTTGTCATGCGGGACGCATGGACTTAAGGAGGGGGAAGTGTGATGATTATGTGATTTTCGGTAGAGTGATTCCCCTTTGAACAAACGTTAAGTAAACGTTCTTGGAATCTAAATTTGTATTGATTTCTCTTTATTAATGATGATTAGCGAAGTTTGATCAAAACCAATATTACCAGAATCTTTTATTAATTACTTGGAATGGATATGACATTATTTCTGTATACATGTATGTTGTAGGATAGTTATTGATAAATGAATAAATGTGATGATTATGCAAATGACCTGGTACCTTGAGTTCCTGAAAATGGTTTCCATATATAAGCAGGCTTATGCCAATCGTCCGCAACACTAACCCGGTCCATACAACTAACATCTGAATAAGCCCATACATCAATCAGCACATTTCTAACACCCAGCACCTCTTTCAAACCTACAACCCCCC